TTAGCACTTATTTTAACTCGGCTATTGCGTAAATTATATAAACTCTGTTTAGTCATTTAAAACAATACTATGAGGTTGGTTGGAGGTTGCTACCCATTCTCTAGCGTTACCACAAGTCTCGAGAATCCCTTGTGGAAAAAGAACTTATTTGCATCTTGAAATAATGAAAGGATCCGCCGGCACCGGAATCTCCCGGGTCTAATTGTTTTGAGTCTCAAGATAATACAGGACTGGGATTAAATTCCACTGTACGCTCATAGAAATTATTTTTCTGCGTGATTTAACTCGACGTCATATCAATAAAAGGATTTTTATGTTAAATTATAAATAATTTACTCCACAGAATTATGAAAAGTGAAAAAATGCGCCAATAAATATAGATCAATGTGATTTTTTTCCATGAGTCACTTGAGAGAATTCTGTCGTCACGTATTTTGCGTTAATGTCGCGATTAGTGGAGTATAAAATGTTCAAGTACTGTCTGACAATTTCACTTCTTCACACGTCGAGTTTCAGCTTAAACTGTAACTATGAAATGGTACACATTTGCAGGTGACTTTGATGTTTGTACTTTCCTGAGAGCTTTTCTTCTTCTATACTCTCCTTGTATTTTTTTGCTAACTTGGTTTCTCTAAGTTCTTTTGGTCATTTTGTTCATTCTTTTTTTTTATTTACAACAAACCTTATTTGCTTTTCTTGTTCATTACGATTCTCCAACTAACAAACTTTTCTTACCCAAAGAAAAGTAATCATCATTTTTTGTCTAATATCTCGAATTTATTTATTGTGATTGAAGATTTTAACAAATTATTTTAATGACCCAAGCGTATTCTGCTTGATTTGAAAATGTCTGCTGAATATGACAAGTATAGTTCCAGTCGTTGGTTGACACGTTGCACATTGAATGGAAGACCAAAGAATGAGTCAGTAGACAACAGTGGGTGAGATGAGTGGAGATTCATCTGAATGTTGTATAGGTGAGAGAAAGAGAATGAAGATGAAGATGGTGTGGTGAAGGACAATGCTGCAAGACAATCTACTCTCATGCAACGATTCCAGCCATCGTTTTACAAGAGTAAGGGTTCAAATAAAAATAAAAGCACTACCCTTATTCTTGTGTTTCTTTTTTTCTCTTGGTTGCTTTCTCATGTTTTCTTTCGCCATTGGTACTGTGTTATGACTCGAGTTATTGCGAAAAATACCAATTCCATCTTTACAGTTTTAATGACGGAAAATATATTAAATACTCTCTATCAATTTTACTCACGTACAATCATAAATTTTGTTTTATTGCATACAAGTTTATTTTAAAAGATAAAAAATTAGAACACAAGTATTTATCTCGATTCAATGGCCCTGGCTACTCTAGAGGTTTACGCTCCAATGGGCGAATATTGTTTCGGCAGTCTATACACGACGTTTTCCAAGACGTGCTTGGCAATTACGTCTTAAAGGTAAAGCTTAAAAAGAGTCAAACTCGTTATATTTCAAGTTTCTCTAACGTAAATTTTCAAAACTCATAAGACCTTCATTTTCCATCATCACCAATTCCCTTTATGAATACTCTACTGTCTTCCTGTAATTTTTTAATCAGAATATTAATGCATCTGTATGTACAATGAGTTGTATTAATTATTCTCCAGTCGTCAATTAAAAAATTGCATCAGATTATATGGTAGGAAGATTCTTTGCAGGAAATCTATTATCACCTATACCTTTTGGGAGTCGAGAATTATTCTTCCTATAAAAATACAGATTTTCATTTATTTCTATAATTTTTTTGCGCAAAGAAAAAATATTATTTTTACAGTAAAATTTTTTTTTCGATGAAAATAATTTTCTTGCTCAGTGTGACTCATTCATCTGTGCTATTATTTTGAATACCGCATATATAAATAATAAAAATATTCCAAAAATGTCAGAATAAGAAAAGAATACTGGATTTATTTATATTGTGAAAATATGAGAATCATTCACGAGCTAAGATTGTTTTCTAAGCACAGGAAAAAAAGAAAAACTTTTATTTTTGTTATCTAATATTCCTTTCTAAATATCTAAAGCTTTTAAAGCAAACTAAATCACCCGAAAGGTGTAGGCAGACATTAACAAACTTGAAATACTATAATCAACTTCGCATGGCCATAATATTCACGCAATCATTATAACACGCATCTTCCTGCTTACAATGGCGAGTAAAAGATTTCGTGGAAAAGCAAGAAAATGAATGAAATTATTATCACGAATTTACAGGTACGACATAGATAATATCAATAGGGAAATATTAAATTTCAATCAAATATAATAATACAGAATCACCAATTACATTCGATCATAGCCTACAAACATTCGCTATTGATTCGTCCGCTTCATATTAGTTAATACATAAAGTCAGGAATCTAATACTCTAGAGAGGATAGTTGATATTGTTATTGCCAACTGAAACATTAATGCACAATGTATTTGGATACGTTAACTATTTGTTTTGGAGTGAACATCAATTCAACTTAATGAATTCACGCAAATTTTATTATTTACATAATATTTTATTACTCAATAATTATTTTAAATAATGTTGTTACAACTTTAGCCACTAATGTTATTTCTTAGGCTTTGTTTTATGAATTAAATATATTTATCAATAAGTAATATTTTGGGGATGATGATAAATTAATTAATATATGAATAATTTAAAATACATTATTAATAGTAAAATAATAAAAAGTTTTTAATAAGCCTTCAATAGTCGAGGTCTCAAGAGGAGAAGTTTGTTTTTATCACCAGTCTCATCCTTTTGTTCAAACTTGCCACTATTATTTATTCAATTCTAAGTTATACTGTATTAGGAAATGTTCCATAAATTTATCCTATCAGTTCTTACTTTTGGACATTACTCGTCTGGAGAGATCTATAATTTACAAAAGTATATATGAAAGTACAGTCAGGCATATTATCGAATAATAGTGAGCAAATAATTATCTAAAATAGAGCGATCGATTAATCTCAATAATTATTTATGCGTTCTTTATTAAAATTTTAGCTTTCAATATTTCATTGCAATTAAGAATAATTGATAACAATAATTACATAAAGCAAAGCTAGAACATATTTAAGTGATCATTAAAACGATATAAATTAATAATTTATATAATTAAATTCTTAATTGAAATTAACTGATACCTTAATTTAATTTAATTGTGTTTGAATTTAATTTGCAACGAAATCTATAAATATTTGTTTGTAATATTGACCATTACAGGCAAATATTTTTACTCATCAGTTATTGAATATCCTTTTGTTATTGTTAGAAGCTTTTGATTGAATTTGAAAGGGGAATTTTTGAGGTGTACGTAGCATAATACTCATTAATCTTGATTATAGGATAATGTAGAATTATGTATGTAAGATTTATGTTTAAAATGTTTCTCTGAAAATATAGAGTAAATTGAGGTTTGAAAAATCACTTCAAGGAAAATTACAGACACATTCATTTCTCATGGTGGAAAATTACGCGAGTACGCGTTAATCTCGGCGTTTGCTGAAAGGAAAAAAAGTGTTCCAGCTGTGACGGTCGTTGTTTGACTTGGCTCTGGATCTAGGGGCGCTAATGAGAGTCGACTACACTACTCCCTCAGATTCGAGGTGTGTTCGTTGGCCAGTTGTGGTCTGCCGAGTTCCGCAATCGTAATTCCTACGCTGTGTTGATTTGTGACAAGATTAAAGTCGACAGCGAGCATCATCCAAGATATAGTAGCTCTTATGAAGTTGACTAGGCGTTTTATTTTAATTGATACTTGAATTATTTATGTTATTCAAAGTTGTGTGGATTTTTTGAAAACTCATGTCTTTGATGGAATTTAGTTATTTAATTTTCATTATTTTTTGGGTCCTGTTTTTTTTATGAAAACTTTGATGAAATAAGTCTATTTAAAGAATGAAATGAAATGTGTAACAGAGGGATCTCGATAAGACCCTTTACCCGCACCCGTGAATGCAGTGCTATTACACAATAATGTTTATGTATTTGTGCATCATTTATATCAAAATCCTTTTGTTATTCGACTGCGTATACGTGCAATAATTTTGGTTCAAGTTCATTCTGTTTTCGCTTATGTGTCTGGATTGAATAATAATACATAATTTTTTGTAGAATTAAAATTTAAATACTGCCATTTTTATTCTATTTTTTTTTTTTATTAATATTCTTGTTAGAACATTTTTTTTTAAACATTGTATTTGACTCTCAGACTTAAATGTAAAAAATTAATCTATCAACTTTATTGTACTGTTTTTTGAGATTTTATTTTTAATCTATATTTAATAATCGTTTTTTTAAACAATTTTTCCGTTGGTTTATTTATCAATTAAACCAACATAAATTCAATAAATACTCTAATAATAATCTCTTCCCTTATTTAATTGAAATTAAATGTAAAAAAAATGTATAAATAGATAAAAAAAAAATATTTTGGGAGCTTGAAATTTTTCCACCGAGTTTTTAACAGATATCCATGCATTAATGCTACATTCGTACAGAAGAAAAAAAATTAATTTATAAAACTTAAAAAAAATTAGGACTTGAAACTCACAATAATTCTTATCCTAATTAATTCAACTCTATTTATTCAGTGGAGCCTCTTCACTATTCTCAGCAGTTAAATGTATCACGTGGCTCAGCAAATTACACACAGAATTTCACGACTCTATTACTTTACAGTACAAGTTCTGATTACATTCGCAATATCTGTTCAACCAAAATTATTATCAAGTTATTCAACCTCTGCATGTTCTCAAACAATCTCATGTCACTCTAATTAACTCTTATCATATTTTTTTCTTCAACTATTGAGTCGGTAAAAGGGAAGATAAATTCATCACTATGATCTGAGGTCAGAAATCTGGGAATATCAAGGCATAACGCGGACGAAAGCCAAGCTATAGTTATAACATACCAAGTACTCATATATACACAAAGTACACACATATCTGTCTGTCTGTTTCAGGATTTTCTCCTCGAGTGTCTGACACGTACAACAGCACCAGCCGTCGAGTTTTATGCTCAGCAGTGTATAGCGAGAGTACAATTGCTCCAGTGTAGGGATTCAGGAGTCTACCTCTTCTGCTTCTTTCACGGGATTATTAATGTGAGAGGTAGATTGTTAAGCTTAAAAGCATCTCGAGTTATGTCAAGGTAAGGATAATTTGTACGATTCCTTCTCTGTACTTTGTTCCTTTTTGTACACATTCACCTGTAAAGTTTGTTAAGAGAATAAAAAACTTCCTTTATGGATTTTATTTACGAGCAACTCATTCGAATTAATTATTGAATGCTTTTTGAATTGTTACACTGATACAAAGTACCCACCATTGGCTGAGTAATAAAATGTTTGTTGAGACTGCAATGAAAGTAAAGAGTAATGAACGTTAAAAGGGCGGGACAATAGCCCCTTTCTCTCCCTCACTCACGTTCTCCCTTCAAGCGCGCTTTCCTGTTATCTGCGACGCGATAACCCAAATATCAGACGGAAGCCCCTGGTAACTGCAGGCCAATAAAACAAGTGAGCGATAAATCGCGTTGGTCGCGCGAGCGTCGCCGAGCGACGCAATAATGGGCGCCTCGTGGCCGAGACTGTAGAACTCTTCCACTATATAAATACAGAGGGTTACTTTTACGGGCCTGGGATACACATCAGTGAAGAGACTGGATCAATCTGCTGTATTTAGATAGCTTGTTGAAAGGTCATGTTATATCAACTGTATATTATCTAAAAATATTTATCCTCATGTCTCTTGTCGTGTTATGTTTGAGATTTATATTCCACCAAGTCTTACTGTTCTATCAAATTTAATTCAATACATTATATTTATTACCATTTCAATGTTTATTCGTCACGATAAAGAAATCATTAGCTTGAATAAAAAAATATTTCCCAATTATTTTCCCGCTTGAAAATAGTCAAGTTTTCATTAATAAATTAATTAAAATAGAACTTCAAAGGGAAATATAATAAAGAAGGGTTGATGAACTTTCAAAGTAAAATAATTTTTAATTAACTTTAATTTTTTTTCCCAGTTTTTTTTTATTTTAATATCTCATTGATTTTTTGTATTAAATCAACTTAACTATTACAAAATAAGATTGAAAGATAATTTAGTTATCAATTTCTCAAAATAAAGTAGTAGATTTGAAATAATCAAATAAGTTATTCTCTCTTGAATTTTCTACTGAAAATAATTGAGATACTATAACGGCCGATCATGATAAAATTAGAACATTATTCTTTTACGAGTAGTCTTCTATTGAGAAAGACAATCGTTTAGTTTTTCATTTGAGATCGTAACGTTTGTTATCAGTAAGCTTTCGGTATATCTTTCCAACTCTTACGAATTAATGTGTATATCCATAAATTGATGATAGTTTCCTCTTTTTTATTAGCTTATGAAATATATATTTGAGGAATTGTATTACAGATATTTATACGTACATTAAATCGGAAAACGGCTTATCTAAGGATTCACTGATTAGTAATCCTTTGTTTGCAAATAGCCCGAGTAGCTTCTTAGTAGCTAATGTTTCCAATTATGATATTTGTTAGTGTGTCATTAACGAGTGATTGACTCACGACAGATCTACAATACTGTAGGTAATCCATTATGTATGTCATAACACACCGTGTGTCTATTGAGAGCATGATAGATAGCTGCGCATCATGCCAATACCATTGACATTTGAGAATTGAAGCATTTCCTATTTCACACGAATACTGATCTCATGTATTTCTCATTAATTATTATGCCAGTGGATATGTCAAGAAATTGTGTCAGTAAACAATAAATCAATTCCGCCACATTGTCGGCGAATGCAAGGGAAAAATAAGAGGAATCTTATTTTCACTTCGATAAATTCATCATCATCCGAACAAATTAACTTTTCATTTTCAAGTCTTATGACATCTGTCACTGGGCTATGTGGAAGTTATTCTTGTTAGTTTCGACAACAGTCGATATTAGGTATTTCGGTGTCAAGATTTAATTCTGTGTTTTTTATAAATTGAACTGGGAAATCATATTTTTAACTTTTGTTTAAAATCAATTAATCCAAAACACGTGGTGTAATGCAAATAAAAATTTTATCCTAGTGAGTATACAATTTTTTTTTTTCGTCATGTTATTGTATGTGTATGTTTATGAAAATATTTTTAATTGAACGCCAGAAACAATATCGAAGTATTACGCTAGGTGCTTTAGTAAAAAATTTTGAAATGCGTTTTTTTTAAGAATAAAAAAATTTCCACTTCGATGGACAAATATATACATCAAAGGGAATTGTTTGCCTGATGCTCGAGTTCAAAGTGTGATCCTGTGTAAAACCTTGTCTAGCAAATTTTATTTTTTCAAAGAGAAATAGTTATACATGATAATATAAAATAAAAATCCATTCGTACCATGTTCATGGAAGTAAAATTCTAAAATTTAAAACAAAATATTGAGAGCACAAGGTCGATAAATTTAATGTATGGTTACAGGTACCCTATTAGTTGTTAATGCTTTTTATGATCATATTACAGCTTTGAAATTACTTTTATTACTCTTTAAAATTCTAATTTCCCCAGAAATTCCACTAACTCTATTGATTTTTTCCCATGTAATTTGCTATGTTAATAAAACATTACAATAATAGTGAAATCTTTTACGAGCACAAATAAGTTGACATAGGAGTTTCATAGCCGTCATAATAAGCACGTTTCAAGCAGAATCATTCGAGCATTAGAACATGAGAACTAAACTGAGAACTTGTGGACTACGTGCAACTGTTCTGTGGAGAGTATAAAGATAATGTTTTAAAATTTCCTTTAGCTCCTTTTTCTTGGATTATTCTCTTATTGTACTGCCATTATTATACCTGTGTATTGCATATACATTGTCGCTAAATTTTATCTAAACATTAGCCAACAGTGAAAATTATGCCGCTTTTACATTCACATAAACATTTTCTTAATCTAACGTCAACAGCAGCTTCCTTCCTGGATAAGTGAGAAATTAAGTATACTCATTAGCGGGAAACGCTTGCTAATGCATTTAAGATTCCAGCAAGTAAATTTCACTTGTTATTTTTCATTTTTTATTCTATTTATTTTCTATCCATTAAACTCAGTCTCGTTATCATAAATTTATTTATTATCGTTAATCTGAAATGCAAAAAAATTTAAATTCTTTCAGGTATTGCACGTCAAGGGAAACTTAAAAATATTTCAAGAAGTTTATGCTCGTTCATTGGGTTTAGTGACAAAAATATTCCATCTCTAGAATCTTCGATCCTGCTGGTCTACAGCACATATACGACTTCACTGAAAGTTGATTATGATCGTAAATAACAATTGCATTTTATCGACATTTAGCCAATGTATATGATGTATATGAAGGTCAGTTAAAGGCTCTTGGTTATATTAAAAACTCTTGCTTGCTCATGATTCTTTCTGTATGAAATGAGAGATGAGATAAAAAACATAAAAGTGAATCATATCAATCGTTTATTCTAAAGAGATAAATGTTAGCTCTTTAATTCTCTTTGAATTTATTTATGTTATTGGACTCCATTAGTTTTCAATAAATAATTCTTTTCCACGAGATAATATCAATTTATTATTTACTATTAGTCGATTTATTAATGAAAAGATAATCAATTTTAGATAAATGCAAAGTATCTTGTGAGCTTGAAATTATTAAATAAGAATTTATTCGAAGTAAATGAAAACAAAAAAAATTTCACATCGTTTCAAGTTCTATAATACTTTTTACATTTTTTTCTTCTTACTTTAAACTTTCAAAGATCATACATTTTTTATTCTATTGTTTGAAAAACTTATTTTTATTGCATTCCAACTTACACAAACTACTGTTTTTTTCCATATAATATCAAATATACTAGAAGATATAACAATTGTATCAAAGGTGAAGAAGAATTTCGAAAAAAAGAATTCTGATGTGCAGATAAAAAACTGAAAACTAGAGTACCAGTTTATTTTTAACGAAACAAAGATTGGAAAACAAAAAAAAATGTGAACTGAAACAATAGTAATTGGAATTGAGTTACAAAGAAAAATTATTTATTAATTTTCTGATTTTCTTTATCTTTCATTGGAAGTATAACAGCACTTACCCTCTAACATTTTACTCCACTGATAGTTGTATTATGTTACAGTTTACGATACTAGCACTCCGGTAACAATAATAGTGCCAGGAAACCTCCATTCCAAATTACTTGCAGTATTCCAAATTTACTGTCCTTTCTCCCAACACTTATCACATACGAATTAATTGATAAATGTATTTAAAAACAGAATAACTTAACTAGCATTTCATTTGTGACCTTTCACAGAAATCTCTTGACATTCTCAGTTCAATATTACTGTTTCTCTATCATTAAACGATTAATTTTTGTCATCGTTGTTATGGTTTTTTTTTGTATGCATACTTTATAAGGGTATATATTGACAATCACGATAAAAAGTTAAAAAGTTTCAAAGAGTCTCATTCATCATTTACCTTCAAACAACGAGAAAATTTCTCGCTTCTAACTTTATTCGAAGAGTAGAAGGATCAGTAGTTGAGAGACGCCTCAGCTTGCTTGTTTCGATATCGCATTCACGGGTTATTACCCTTGGGAGACTTGAGTCAGTCAAGTTTTGCTGTAGTGTCCATACACGAATACCATTGAAAATAAGTATTATATATATATTCATAAATATAAGTTTTTTGTTTTCCCAAATGGTTACAAAAAAATCCAAAGTAAAGAAAAGTGATGACAGAGGAGGTAAAATTACAGAAATGAAAAAAAACTTCATGTATGGAATGTTTGGTACATAAAAACTAATTAAAAACATCCTTTCAGTTTGCAAAAGTTTTTAAACTTTATCTTACTGCATAAGTTTTTAGCTCGTAAATATTTTCGGAATGTAAATTTATAAAGTATTTTAACTGTTGTAATAGACATTGGCTAATTAGTTACTTGAATTATTTATCTTAAATTACATAAATATATATCTCGTTATTCACATTTATTTATAATGAGCTTTGTTGAAAAGTACTTTTCAATGAATATAAATGGATTATTCAGAAAAAGTGTAATCAATAACATCAAGTTCACGAGATTATAATTTACCAAATTGATATTTGATAATTCTATATTTT